GAGGCCTATGAAAGGACGGAGATTTGCTACGATTGAAGATATAAAGACTGAATCGCTGGAAGAGCTCAAGGCTATACCGAAAAGTGCTTATGGGAAGTGCTTTGAGGATTGGAAAAACCGTTACAATAAGTTTATTGTATCTGAGGGGGATTACTTTGAAGGGGACAACATTAATATTGATAAATAAATGAATAGTTTTTCTTGAAAATACAATGTCACCTTACTTTTTGAATACACCTCGTATCGCATTTGTCAGCATTATTTTGCTGACCGTTTGTCATTCGGAAATTATTGACTACACGTAAAATGAATACCTTTTACTAAAAGACGGGAACAAAGTATTAACTTACGACACATTTAAAGACCTATTTCCTGTAAAAAACCTAAGTTTTTACCAAGAAATACTTCAAATTGAAGATATTTATATAATTAAGAATAAATACTCAGACTTAGATTGAAAAATTGCACAGAACTTGACAATTTTAAAAATCCTCATGTTCAATAAATACCTTCACGAAATAAAAGGGGCATTAATGAATTGGGAAAGGTATGGATATGGCTTTCAGAGGCACCTAACCATGACGCCTTAATAAGAATCGAAAAAAAATAAACGATCTGACAGAAAACAGTAACAAAAAATTTGCAATTAATTCACGAGTATTTCAGGAATTACAACGAATAACCAAAACCCCCGAGACGATCATTTCTAAAAAAGAATCAAAAGTCAGACAGAACCATTTACAATTAATTACACTTGACATACAAAATTTAAATGACAATATTAATTTAGCCAAATTGACATTTTAAATACAAAAATTTTAAGAGAAAAAGATATAAAAAAATCTTTAGACATGAAAATAAGGCAATTACAGGCAATGCATCATTTAAAATAGTTAAAAATTAAGACTTACCATTTATTATAACCTTGCAGACGGTATTATAATTTTGGTCAAAAGTGTGCAACGCAGTGAAGGAGACATCTCCGACCCTATAAAGTACATATATTCTTTCCTGAGTTGATATAAGCATGTCCGTCTGTCCGTCTGTCTGTCCGTCTGTCTGTCTGTTTCTACGCAAACTAGTCCCTCAATTTTAAAGCTATCGTCTTGCTACTTTGCACACACCCTTCTTTCCATTGCACGCAGTATATAAGTCGACTATATCCTATAGCTGCCATATAACTGATTGATCGGATATGTTATAACTTCGGTGTTTTTAAAGTAAGAGATTTTGTACGAATGCTATTTTTGACAAAATAATACGACCCACCTTATTTCATAACGATCGGCCGACAATACCTTTTAGCTGCTATATAACTGAACAATCGGAAATGGTTTTTACCAATATACCAACATTACCAACATTTTACCAAAAATTATAAAGTACATAGATGGGACATCTCATACAAAGAAAAATTTTCTATGGCGGGTTCCAATTTTAAGTATCATAATATGAACTTCGAGGGTAGCCTAGTTGGATAGTGCGCTGTCCTTATTCATAGGGTCCTGGGTTCGATTTCATAAGCGGGCGGTTGTTTCAATTTTGATAAACTTTTAGTTTTGTGATTCTTTTTATACCCTTGCAGAGGGTATTATAATTTTGTCCAAAAGTGTGCAACGCAGTGAAGGAGACATCTCCGACCCTATAAAGTATATATATTCTTGATCAGGATCACCTCCTGAGTTGATATAAGCATGTCCGTCTGTCCGTCTGTCCGTCTGTCCGTCTGTCCGTCTGTCCGTCTGTCCGTCTGTCTGTTTCTACGCAAACTAGTCTCTCAGTTTTAAAGCTATCGTCTTGAAACTTTGCACACACCCTTCTTTCCTTTGCACGCAGTATATAAGTCGGAACGGCCCGGATCGGCCGACTATATCCTATAGCTGCCATATAACTGATTGATCGGAAATGGTATAACTTTGGTGTTTTTAGAGTTAGAGAGTTCAAATTTGACATGAGAGCTATTTTTGGCAAAACATTACGACATGCCAAATTTCATAAGGATCGGCCGACTATATCTTATAGCTGCCATATAACTGAACGATCGGAAATGACCCAACTTTCGTGTTTTTGAAGATAGAAAGCTAGAACTTGATACACATTCTATTTTTGGTCAGTTAATCCGACCTACAAAATTTCATTAGGATCGGCCGACTATATCCTATAGCTGCCATATAACTGAACGATCGGAAATGGTATTTGGTAGAAATATCAACTTTTGTATTTTTGAAGATAGAAGCTTGGGACTTTTTTTTCGATTTTTATTGTAATTGATTGGTTTTATTATGATGTAATCATAAGGATTGGCCAACTATATCCGATGTTTGCAATATATATCCGGTTTTAGCTGCAAGGGTATATCAACTTCGGCTCCGCCCGAAGTTAGCTTTGCTTTCTTGTTATATTTACTTTTATTTTTTTACAATTTTTTTTTTACTTTTAATTTTTACGTTATTATTATTATTTTTAATTGCATTTTATTACAATTGTTGTAAAAATAAGTGACGGACGTGTCAGATGCCGAAATACCGGAAGGACTCCCTTGAAATTTTATTAGCATTTTATTAGCGGGACATAATGAAGAATAAATCAACTTTAAAATTGTAAAATTAAAAAAAAATATTACTATTAAAGAAAAAAAAAATTTATTAGAAAAGAAAGAAAAAGTTCAAAGTCCTTTTGAACACAGAAAAATTATACATAGAGCAACTACTCTATGCATTACGCTACCACCCTGTCTCGATCTGTGGCAAAAAAAAAAATACTATTTGCTATACTAACTACCACACTTCTTCTAACTTCTACCACATCGGCGCATTGAAAACAGAAACGAGAAATTGAAATTTCACACAGCAGGCGAGCAGTCACACATACATACAAAGGTTCACATTTTTGTTGGCGGAAACATGTAAAGAGTTCTAAAAATAGAATCGCATGCATGTGCGTTCCCCCCACACCAACAAGCTCGACTAAAAAAGTTGACCGTTTTGGGCCCTGATGTCCCATTTATGTACTTTATAGTCTTTGATTTTACAAAAATACCAAATTTAGTGTTCTTGAAGATAGAAGTAGATACTTTTTTACCAAGTATCATTTACTTATGAAATTCAGTATGTTGAATCAATTGACCAAAAGTATAATCTTTTTGAAGTTGCACCTTTCTTTAAAAACACGAAAGTTGGGTCATTTCCGATCGTTCAGTTATATGGCAGCTATAAGATATAGTCGGCCGATCCATATGAAATTTGGCATGTCGTATTATTTTGCCAAAATAGCTCTCATGTCATTTTTTAGCCCTCTAACTCTAAAAACACCGAAGTTATACCATTTCGATCAATCAGTTACATGGCAGCTAAAGGATATAGTCGACCGATCCAGGCCGTTCCGACTCATACATGGGTGCAAAGGAAAAAACGGTGTGTGCAAAGTTTCGATAGCCTTAAAACTGAGAGACTATTTTTCGGACATGCGGACATGCTGATCACTTGCATCGTGATCAAGAACATATATATACACTTAATATGGCCGGAGATATCTCCTTCACTGCGTTGCACGATTATGACCATAATTTTGTTCTTTTCAAGAGTATACAAAATTTTCTCTTATTGGAGTAAAAGTGGTAGGGGGTTGAAAGTAACTTACAAGTCTGAGAGTAAATGAGAGATTTATCCGGTTTATGAAAATGTATATATACAATACAGTTATATATATTTTTACATGTGAACACAAAAATATTTATCATATGTAGGCTGATAATGTTTGAACTGTTTGAACGGTAGAATTTGTATAATCGATTAATGCACTTCTTTTCGTTTTTCATGCCGAAATTAACCGGTAATTCTTTTATTAATACGTTTAATAGAGATGTACATATGTACATATATCAGTTCTGAATTTTCTATTCATTTATTAGATTTCACCGTTCATTTTTTCTCTTTTGATTTCACTTAAAATACCAAAGTGATGGCATGTATATGTATGTATATGTATATGTATATGTATATGCATATGTATTATGTATTATGGCAGCTTAAGGATATAGTCGACCGATCCTGGACGTTCCGACTCATATACTGGGTGCAAAGGAAACAAGCATTATTAAAAAAAATAATGTTTTTATTTATTAGAAAATGCTGTTCTGAATGTTCTATTCATTTATTATATTTCACTGTTCAATTTTTCTAAAAATAGTAAATAGGCCTTTAAATACATACATATCATAGAAAATACATATAAAAATAAAATTATAAAATAGAAATTTAGATTAAAATGCATTTAGTGCAGTTTAAAGAATATAGTACAAAATAGGAGTCATGCGCAACCGGCCGCACCTGTATATGATATGTATATGTATATGTATATGTATATGTATATGTATATGTATATGTATACGTATATGTATATGTATATGTATATGTATATGTATATGTATATGTATATGTATATGTATATGTATATGTATATGTATATGTATATGTATATGTATATGTATATGTATATGTATATGTATATGTATATGTATATGTATATGTATATGTATATGTATATGTATATGTATATGTATATGTATATGTATATGTATATGTATATGTATATGTATATGTATATGTATATGTATATGTATATGTATATGTATATGTATATGTATATGTATATGTATATGTATATGTATATGTATATATGTATATGTATATGTATATGTATATGTATATGTATATGTATATGTATATGTATATGTATATGTATATGTATATGTATATGTATATGTATATGTATATGTATATGTATATGTATATGTATATGTATATGTATATGTATATGTATATGTATATGTATATGTATATGTATATGTATATGTATATGTATATGTATATGTATATGTATATGTATATGTATATGTATATGTATATGTATATGTATATGTATATGTATATGTATATGTATATGTATATGTATATGCATATGTTTATGTATACACTTATCTTACAATGACCAAGGCTTACCGTTATTAGGCTTTGTTTGACAAATGCGTTGGTTTGAAACAAAAAAATTTTAACTCATCAACACACTATTCTTGTTCACTGCAAAAAAATGCTAAAACAATTTATGCTATTTTATTAACGACTCCGTAACGTAATTCGCGTAAATTATATATGTCCATATATTAAATCCGACTTTATTTATCAAGAAAAGCTGCTTCCTCTGATTCCTGTTTTTGTCGCTAAGTTGCATTTATAATTCTTCGCCTGGACTTCATTTTTGACACATAAAACGCTTGCAAACATTAATATTTTATAAAATTTAACTTAATAATTTTTCTTAATCAGGTTTTTATTTTATATTTGATAACTTTTTTTGAAAGTCCGTTCATGTTTTCTTGCCGATTCTTTTCTTGATTTAAAATACCGTTCTGAAGCATTCAAATACATATGTATATTTTCCGGAGTTGGGCGTACGACATGTTAGATACGAATGCTGACGGCGCAGCCGCATGACAGGCTAAAGTCTCTAAACTTTTCTAGAAATGATTTAGGTGTGGCTGTTTTTTGATTTGCACATAAAGTCAGTTATTATTCAAAAGAATTGCTTAAATTAAATGTTTAGTTAATTCGTTAATGTTGCATATTCATTTTTATACATTTCGTCAAAAATTTATGATATACCAAAAAAAGATCGTCAATAAAACTTTCCCCTTATGAAATGATTCCAGTGTTAGTTTTTATAATTGGTAACAGATACATAAGAAAAACGAAAAATGATGAGATACGTTTAAGTCTTTCTTTGGACTACTTAAGTCATTTTTGGAGAAAATTATAATTTTCTTAAATATTAAAAAGGAATGGTAATGAAAAAATAAATCGCTTAAGACCTTTCCGGAGGCAACCCTTAATCGATAACTATTACTTTAAGCCAGCGTTCGGCACGGCCTTATCCCGAGGTTATAGGAAATTTCTCTGCCCAGCTCTGCCACACAGACACAGTATAAATGTGTGACAAGTCATGCTCATAGCCTACTTTCTGCTATTTGTTACTAATACTAATGCGTTAAAATCATATCAATGCATTGGAGTGCCGACCACTGCTTTAAAGCTTAAACTATGTAGGTTAGTTAAATTGTTGGGTAGAAGCGATGAGTTCTGGGTGTAATATAGTCGAGAAACTATACGACTATACCGTCTTTATTGTTTAAATAATTGTTTCGTGTGTCTGGAATATGCAGTAGATATTTAAAGTAGATATATAATTTTGATAACTTATAAGAATAATCAAATTATTATATTTGTAAATAGAAAAATTTTAAACAAACTCTCAGGATTCCGATTAATCAGGTATATGGGAACTATAGGTTATAGACGATCGATCGTGGCCGTGCTGGCATATACTGACCAAAACTTTGCAAGGAAATACTTGAAATAAGCTTTGAAAAAAAGAAGAGTGCGACACCTAACGCGCGTAACTAAAAACAATACAAAAAAATATTTCCCTATTCAAATCTTTTCCCTATTTAAGCTTTCACATAAATATAGTGGATTTTGTGTGCTTTAATATGCATAATTAGCTGAATATTGCAAATGAAATTGAAAATTTAATGATGTAGTCTCATGTGTGACGTTGGAAACGTTGACGTTGATTTTTTTTTAAACATATTTCGAAAGTACTCTTTATTGAGAATGTACTGTTGAAGTTTCAAATAAAAATATGAAATATTAACAGAGATACAGCCCATAATCGAGAGCGCGCCTACACCGAATAGTATGAGTTACTCGGTGGCGTCTAAACTTTAAACGCGTTTTTCGGAACGACATTTTTGTGTGCGGCGCAGGTGATTCACAAAATTCTGTGGGTCCGATCTAGCTGAAATTTGGATATTTTGTTCTAAAAAGTAACACCTCTGTCCCGAAATAGAATAATTTATTTTTAATAATTAGTTTTTTATTTATCAATTATTTAAAATACGCTGAACTACAATTTACTAAAAGTGACAGACAAGCTTTTTATAACAGTTGTGATGTGCTAAACCAAAACTTGTGCATTGTTAAAAAAAAAAGTAAGAGCCACGCAATGAGCTCATTGAGCAACGATCAAAAGAACGAGCGTAGAAGTTCAGTGAACCAAAGAAACGGCTTCTACTCTTACTTTTCAACCCGCGATACAGAAATGGAAAAATCGGCGATTATAAGCAACCCGGCTTTACTGACCGTTGAAACCCAAAGGGCACGGTCTTGCTCACCCGCACTGCTCACTCCGACTCCCGCGTCATGGAGTTCGCAGTGTAAAACCCCCCCTCCAATATCGGAAACAAATTTCGCACCAACAACTAGCAGCGCTACAACTTCTGCAACAACAGCGGAAACCTCTGCAACTTAAAGTACCGCGACGTCAACGACTACAGCGAGTACAAAAAAAACAACCTCGGAAAGTGCCAAAGCGGTAACGGCCACACAGACTGGAATGGATCGCTACATCCAAATTAAGCGCAAGCTTAGCCCGCAGAGTAATCCGGCAGGCAACAAAACCAAAATTAACCGTGTCCTGAATATCGATAAAGAACCAGACAGACCCACTACTAACAGATTTTCCCTACTGGCGGAGGCTGAGGAAAACCAACCAGCCCAAGAAACCGCAAAAAACCCAAGCCCCCTCCAATCTATATTAGGGAAAAAAGCTCGAGTGCCCTGGTCAACAAAATTGCGTCGTTGATCGGGAACGGTGACAACTTACATGTTGTTTCGCTTATCAAAGGGAACATCCATGAAACAAAGGTGCAAACCAAGACTGAAGAGCACTTCCGAATCGTGTCCAAATATCTGGGCACTGTACAGAAAAATGTTATGTTACCGCCGCGGAAATAAAAATCGCCCTTAAAGAAAAGGGCTTCGCCGCCAAGAATTTTATTAACATTCTAAATAAAAATAAAAAGCCACAACCCCTCTTCAAGGTCGAGCTCGAGCCAGGTCGCTGAAGAAGAACGAATTCCACCCAATTTATAACCTGCAATATCTTTTGCATCGGAAAATCACTGTTGAAGAGCCACATAAACGCAACGGTCCAGTGCAATGCACTAACTGTCAAGAGTATGGACACACAAGGTCTTACTAAACACTTCGGGATGTCTGTGTAGTCTGCGGGGACGCCCACAAGTCCGCTTGCTGCACTACAAACAAGAACAGAACCGTGAAGAAATGTGGAAACTGGCAGCCATACAGCAAACTATAGAGGATGTATGGTGTATAAGGAGTTAAAGAGTCGCATGTGTCAAGCGACCGCAACGCGCTACCAAAATCCACAGAATGCGTACATTGCGTTAAAAACTACGCCAGACGTCTTCTTCGCCAAAGCTGCGAGATCCTCATTTGGTCCACTAAACACCACCAACGGCTTCTCCTATGCCGATGCTCTACGATCTGGAAGGGAAATTCCAATTCAGCCTAACTCTCAAAGCGCTCAACAGGCCCCTGAACAGCCACACAGCAAAATGGAAACTATGATGCTTACCCTCCAACAAAGTATGATGGAGCTTATGTCATTCATGAAAACGACCATGCAAACGCTTGTTCAAAACCAGAACATGGTGTTACAGCTGCTCGTAGCACAACAGTCTAAATAATCTATGCAGGCGCTACGAATATCAATGTGGAACGCCAATGGTGTCTCACGGCATAAACTAGAATTATCACAATTCTTAACCGAAAACCATATTGACGTTATGCTACTGGTGGAAACGCATCTTACAAGCAAATACAACTTTCATATAAGAGGCTACACAATCTACCGCACAGATCATCCAGATGGGAAAGCCCACGGCGGAACTGGAGTTCTAATCAGAGAACGCATTAAACACCACTTTCACAAAAGGCTTGCAACCAATTTCTTGCAGGCCACATCGATACAAATTCAGTCAAGCAACGGAATCCTTTCAATCGCTGCTGTTTACTGAACTCCTCGTTTCTCAATCTCGGAAGGACAATTTATGGACTTCTACAATTCACTTGGGGACCGACTTATAGCCGCAGGAGACTACAACGCCAAACATACGCACTGGGGATCACGTCTAGTGACTCCCAAAGGAAGACAATTGTACAATACAATTATAAATGTGAAAAATAAACGGGACTACGTTTCCCCTGGAAGTCCCACATACTGGCCAACAGACTCACAAAAGCTCCCAGACCTTATTGATTTTGCAGTGACAAAAAACATACCTCGCAATCTAATAAGTGCCAAAGCAATCTCGGACTTATCATCAGAACACTCGCATGTGCTTCTAACGCTTCTTCAAAGCCCAAAAATAACCGAACACCCCTTCAGCCTGACGACGCCAAAAACGAACTGGTTAAAATACAAAAAGTACGTGAGTGCCCACATAGAACTCGCCCCGGAATTTAACATGGAATCGGACATCGACTACACTACGAGAGCCCTGGAAGAAGTACTCGTTGCGGCAGCTTAAATCTCTACTCCTCATAGGAAAGATGTAGACCGAAACAAACACTTCAAATCTAATCAGCAAATCGAACAGCTCGTGCGAGAAAAGAGGCGCACGCGTCGTGATTGGCAAAACAGCAGATCACCAGCTTCAAAACAACGCCTTAAGGAAGCAACCCGATCACTCGACCAGGCAACAGGAAGAAAATGCACAGCTGAGGTACATCCAGAATCTCTCGCCAACAAGCACAAAGTACCCCCTGTGGAGGGCCCACCCAAATCTTAGCGCCCCAATTGAAACGACCACCCCGATAAGAAACTCTTCGGAATACTGGGCTCGCAGCGACGAAGACCGAGCTGAAACATTTGCCACTCATCTCCAAAGTGTCTTCCAGCCAAACCCAGCCTCAAATTCATTCCTCCTGCCAGAAATTCAGCCAGAGTCCTCCCCTCAGCCAGCCGCACCTTCATTCCGACCGAACGAAATCGAAAAAGTCATGAGGACTAAAACCAAAAAAGGCTCCCGGTGGTGACCTATTGACCCCAAAGATGCTGATCGAACTTCCAAAATGCGCTATAGAGGTCGTCTGCAAACTATTTAATGGCATCATTAATCTTGGCTATTTCCCAAAAAAGGGGAAGAAATCCATCATTATAATGATACCGAAGCCTGGAAAAGACCACACAATTCCGTCATCATACAGACCAATAAGCCTTCTATCTTGTTTGTCTAAATTGTTTGAAAAATGCTTGTTAACTCGCATAATACCACATCTGGAATCTTGCAATATTATTCCGGCATACCAATTTGGCTTTCGAAGAAACCATGGAACCATCGAACAAGTGAACAGATTAACATCCGAAATACGCTCAGCCTTCGAACAGCGAGAATACTACAGCGCTGTTTGCCTCGACGTATCTCAAGCTTTTGACCGAGCTTGGCTCATCGGACTCACGCACAAAATTAAAACGTATTTGCCAACATACATCCACAAGCTAGTGGAATCATTACTCTACAATAGGGTATTCTTAGTGAGATGCAACGCAGCTACTTCGG